TTTTTTGTTTTGTTTTGTTTTTTAATGAACATAATGTAAACATTTTCCATTATAGGGTGTGGGGGACTCCTATTTTGAACTTAGAACCAAATGCATCCTTTAGTCTTTGATAAGTGACTGTACAACTCTACTTTCCAGTTTCATATTCTTGTTGAATAAAGTACTCACAATCCTTAGCCTGACCTTTGGTACCCTCTATAACTTGGGCCTAACCTAACTTTATAGCTTCCTTCCTTACTCTTTCTTTCTTTTCAGCCCCCCCAAAAAATAAAGGTCTATTTTCCCAACACCTTTTATATCCTTTCCCCATTATGTCATCTTGGTAGTCTTGTCAAAAATAGTTTACCACATGTCTGTGGGTTTATTTCTGAGTTCTCTGTCATTATTTAATATGTGTTTTTATGATAATGCAATGCTATTTTAATTTTTATAGTTCTGTAATTTTGTAATGTAGTTTGAAATCAAGACGTGTGGTATAGCCAGCTTTGTTCTTTCTTCTCAGGATTGCCTTGGCTACTTAGAGTCTTTTACAGTTCCATATAAGCTTTAGGACCTTTTTGTTTTTCTGTGAAAAATTCCATTGGAATTTTGATAGGGATTGTATTGGATTTATTTTTATCTATCTATTTATTTTTTTTTTATGTGGTGCTGAGGGTTGAACCGAGGGCCCTGCACATGCTAGGCGAGTGCTCTACCGCTGAGCCACAACCCCAGCCCCATTCCAATTGTTTTTTCTTTTATTTATATATGACAGCGAAACGCATTACAATTCTTACTACACATAAAGAGCACAATTTTTCATATCTCTGGTTGTATACACAGTATATTCACACCAATTTGTGTCTTCGTAAATAATACTTTGGATAATAATGATCATCACATTCCACCATCATTAATAACCCCATGCCCCCTCCCTTCCCCTCCAACCCCTCTGCCCTATGCATTGGATTTAAATAGACTACTTTGGGTAGTGTGGGCATTTTGACAGTATTGATGATTGCAGTCTATAAAGTCTTTCCATTTGATATAATGCCTTCAATTTTTTTATCAGTGTTTTATAGAGTTTGAGTATATAGATCTTTCACCTCTTTAGTTAAAATTATTCTTAAGCATTTTATTGTTTTTTGATGCTAATGTAAATGGAATTTTTAAATTTTTCAGTAGTTCATTGTTAGTGTACAGAAATGCAACTTTTACCCCCTTCTTTTGGGAATTGAACCCAGGGTCTTGAACTTTCTGATTTTCAATATATAGGATCATGTTATCTGCAAACACTATTTTGCCTGTTCCTTTCTGATTTAGATAACTTTTATTTAATTTCTTTTTCTTGCCTAATTGCTCTAGCTAAGTATAGTATCTTCTAATACTTTGTTGATTAGAAGTGTTGAGAAAATGCACTCATGTTATCATTATTCATCTTAGAGAAAAAGATTTTCAGCTTTTGGCTACTGATAATGATGTTACCTGTCATGTAAGACCTTTATTGTGTTGGGATACATTTCTCCTAACCTAATTTGTTGAGTTTTTATCATACATTGATATTCAGTTTTGTAAATTGCTTTTTCTGCATCTTTTGGGATAATCATAGAATTTCGTGCTTTATTAATGTAGTGTATCACATTAATAGCATCCCAGGTATAAATCCCATTTGATCATAGTATTGATGATCCTTTTAATGTGCTGTTGGATTCTGTGTACTAGTATTTCATTTGGATATTTGCATAAATGTTCAGGGATATGGCCTTTAATTTTGTTTTCTTGCAGCATAGTGTCCTTTAGCTAACTTCAGTGTGAGGCTGATGTTAGCCTTGTAAAGTAAGTTTGACAGTGTGTCTTCTTTTCAAGTTTTTGACTGAATTTGAG